CACAACCACTCACTGGCCAGGGGTTCAGGCTGCGGGTCTCCCAGACGTACGGGCGGCTCCAATTTGCGACGGACAGGACACCCACACATACACCCACACACATACCCCCCCACACAACTACTCACTGGCCAGCGGTTCAGGCTGCGAGTCTCCCAGATGTACGGGCGGCTCCAACTTGCGACGGACAGAACACCTACACAACCACCCACGCATACCCCCCCACACAACCACTCACTAGCCAGGGGCTCAGGCTGGGGGTCTCCAAGACGTACGGGCGGCTCCAACTTGCGACGGACTATCTCCACAATGAGGGGCTTGTCCAAGGTCTCGAACTCCTTGCTCATCACGATCTGGTTGTAGTTCACCTCCTTCACGATGAACCGCAGACAGAAGCCCTGACGACACAGCACCGATTGGTCACAGTTTTACGGCACTTGCAAACATAATTAGTTAAGTTTTAGTAAGAGTGTTACAGCACTTGCAATATTATCAGGTCATACAAAACGCTAAAGATAAGAGGTGCTACAAGAGAGCAACAAACACACACAAAAAATGGGAGAGATGAGGATGATAGATGTTTGATAGGACCCCCTATGTTGTTCCGGCACAGTATGAGCATGACATTGATAAATCAGCCCGTTTACAATTTTACAGTGCAAAAGAACATGTTAATATCCCCCTCTTTACATGTTCTTATGCACAGTAGAATTGTAAATGGGTGACCCCCCACCCTGAGAAAGTCCAGCTGTAGGCGAGCGGCCGGCGTTGTGCAGAGCAAACAGGACACTCTTGATCCCACCTACAACCACCACCACCCTCACAACTACAATAACTCCCCCCCCTCCCTCCCATCCACGCACACACATACACACACACACACCCCACACACACAAACCCACCTTGAGAAAGTCCAGTTGTAGGCGAGCGGCGTTGTACAGAGCAAACAGGACACTCTTGATCCCGATGACCCACCCACAGTGACCCCCCCTCTCCCTCACACACACACCCACCACCCCACACATACACACACACCCACCAACCCACACATACACACACACACCCCCCCCATCCCCACACAAACCCACCTTGAGAAAGTCCAGCTGTAGGCGAGCGGCATTGTGCAGAGCAAAGAGAACACTCTTGATCCCGATGCTGGCCTCTAGGAACTGAACACACAGCTGTTGCAGACGGCCCATGTGAAGCTGACAGACAGGGCCAGTTTTTTTAAGTTTTAGTAAGAGTTTTACGGCACTTGCAACACAATAAGGTCATATAAGTGCCAAGATTAGAAGTGTTACAAGAGAGTAACAAACATAAAAAAGAAGGAGGGGAGATAAAGACGATAGATGTTTGATAGGAAAGAAGAAGCAACCACACCAGAGCACCCGTCAACCACCCATTGACAGGGTCAAGGACACCGCAGGGGTCAAGGTCTTCGGTTAGTCAGGGTTTTACGGCACTTTAAACACAAATCTGTCGCAGCAACAACTTGAAACACATCTGTAACTTTTACAAATATTATTCATAGCTGGACCAAACACATCTATAATTTATTCATAGCTATATCAAACACATCTATAATTTATTCATAGCTATATCAAACACATCTATAATTTATTCATAGCTATATCAAACACATCTATAA